ACCACCAAAAACCTACCTTTTCATATCGCAGGTAGTTTGTGTCGAAGAAAATCTTCTAATATATGCAGATGTAGTTGAATGGTCATTTCCGAATCTTAAGAATGCATCTAATGTTAATAACAAAAATAATAAAAAACCTGGTTCAATTTCAGCAAGATTAAAAAATATCGAATCAAAATTATTTTCATTCCTCACCATCATTAACACATTCAACATCACCATCATCTCACTTTTCTTCACCATCAACACCCATGTCATTATATATGTATATCAAGTTTGGATAAAGGTAAGCTTCAAATCAAGATAAAAAAAGTGATACAACATGAAGAAGTAACACCATCCTCACCTGTACAACCAATTATAGAACTACAAAATCCTAATGATTGTCATGAAGACATTTTAGATGCAGCAATTGTAAAAACACCAATAAATGCATTACTCCTACTAGATCAAAAAGACAAAAAATAAATTATATTAAGGAACAATCCTTTTTATACGTGTATATTGATTGTATAGAAAAATTTTTTTTTTATTTGCTTATAAAATTCTTAAATTATATATTATTAATGAGTTTTATAAATTTATATAAAATTTCTTGTGAAATAAAAATAAATCATTACTACTCTTACATTTTCAGACAATATGCTATAAATCTTACACTAAATAGAAATAAATAGGACAAGACAATTCTTGTTATCTTTTATAATTGCAAAGATTGCTTGTATAAGTTTATTAACTTTTATTTATTTTAAATTAAAAATGTATCGTGATCTGGTGAAGCAATTGTTGGAAGTATATTTGTATTTATTGGGCGAAATTGGAAAGGGATTCTAATGATTTTATCTCTGATCAAATTGTTAATTAAGTTGATATTTTGAAAATTGTGAATCATTATACTACTCACTACAGGGTTGGCAAATTGACTGGTCCATTGAGAACTGATGGACTTTGAGCTGGTCCATTGCCATTAATAAGATACTAAATATAGTTAAAATGTTACACTAATGGACCCAATAGACCATCAATGGACCACCAATGGACCACACATTCGCCAACCCTGATTCAGCATAATGGACACTCATTTTATCACTTTGTGACAAAATCGACT